TACAAAATGTTTTATTTATTTTATCAACTTTTCTTCTGCCGATGCTGTCTGTGTTGAGCGCTCAGTGGATCTGCACTGTCGAGCACAGATCCACTGAGCACAGCACAAGCTAGTAACACAGAAGTTAAGCTTGTTGCAACATGGCAACTGCCTCAACGCTAACCAAAATTGAACCTCCCCCACCCTCATTCAGATCTGGCGTTTGGAACTATCTTGGTTTTCATGTGAAGCATGACCCTGATGGTAAGCGCGTCATGGACAAAAGTAAAACAGTATGTCAGATGTGCCACGTAATGCTCAATTGGTGGGAACTAGTGCGTTAGCTCAGTTAGCTTGTTAACGTGTTGACGGCATCCAGCCCCACGTACGGGGCGATCCGCGGTAACTCGTTAACGGAGATTTGCTGTGTTGTGGCGTTAACGTCATTTCAGATTAATGCTGACAGCACTAGTGGGAACACAACGAATATGACTGCACATTTACATCCTAGAGCAAAGACAAGTGGAAGCAGACAAAAACAACAAGCACGCATGCTACAAACTTTACCCGAGTCATTTAGACAGCCGTTAGCACAGGATTCGCCTCATGGGGAACTGATATGTTTAATATGCTGCTGAGAGTATAGCCCAGAAGAAGCGTATAGTATAGCTTTTATTTTGGAAAGAGACATTTCTCTGTAATAAACTCTCTTTTCCAAAGATGAGGGATTTCTCCATCAGATAGATTAATTTTTTACTATTATTTTGTTGTTTCAGCAACATTAAATTTAAAAACTGTTCTTTTGAGTTAAAATATAAATTTATAATTTTAATAAATGACAAATTAAAAAGGGATGAACATTTTTTTGCATCGAAAAAATATCAAACCGTGACACCAAAGTATCGAACCGAACCGTGAATTTTGTGTATCGTTGTACCCCTAATATATATATATATATATATATATATATATATATACAGACACATACACACACATATATGTATGTATATATGTATATGCGTCACACTGTGCGCCACGTTATTGTTTCGGTTAAATGAATTTCTACAATACTGTTACTGTTAATTCTACTCTCTGCAGTGTTTAAATGCTTACATATACACACAGTTACTGTCCCTCCACACATACGACTCGGTTCTGCTTCTATGCCCCAGCTTTGTTTACTTTGGCCAACATTTCTGCACGGTTAGGAATCTAGTGCCACCTGCTGCTTTGGCATGTTCATAGCAGCGTTTTCCTTCATTTCTGCCTTTATTGTGTGGACGGGATTATTTTTTAAAACGAAAACGGAAAATCTCCGTTTTCAAAAATACCCGTGTACGTGTGGACGTAGCCTCAGTCTCTGACTGGAAGCGCTAATTCGTCATTCGGCTTTTGTCAGACTAAAGTAACTGTTAAAACTGTTTGAAAAGCTAAGCTATACAACAAGGAGAGATTGAGAATTTCCTTTTAGTTCTCGGTTTATTTGATATTGACAAAAGTTAGTCAGTTTTGTCTGTTCTTCTGTAAAACAAACTAAGATTTATTTTTAGAATTAATATTTTGTTTCTAAGTGGAATCGACAATTTAGTCTGTTTTGTTTGTTCTATTTTGAAACTTAAATGCTTTAGCGGCTGCCTTTTGTGTAGTTTGCAATATTTGCCTTTATTTATCTGAAAAAGTCTCATGTTCCTTAAGTACATCTACCCTGTTGAACTTATTATGGGAAATAAATATTTAAATAAAAACAAGCTGCTGATTATTTCACATTTTACTTGTGAGCAACGGCACATTTAAATCTTACAAATATAGTTATTTGGCTTATATCGTGATAGATATCGTTATCGCCTGAAATGAAAAAAACATATCGTGATATGAAAAAATCTCATATCGCCCAGCTCTAGTTACAGAGTTTAACGTCTCTCTTCCTCTCTAATCAGTTTGACTCTGAGATAAACAATTCATTCGACATCTCTAAACCATTTCCGTCTCTTGTTTCTCGCTCTAGACTCATTGTGCCTGTGTTTAAAAAAAAAAAAAAAGAAACGTACACAGCTGCTTTTCCTGGGACTTCCACGTGTACCTCACTGTAAAAAGATAAGGCAGGTGGACAGAGAAAGTCAGCATGGGGCCGGAGGTGAGGGCGGACAGAAAGGAGGTCGGGAGACAAGCGGCTGACAGCCAGCAGACAGCGGCTCCTGAGGTTTCCATTACCTGAGACAGCCTGCTCAGCCACTGGCTCTGTCACCTTAGAAGGAACAGCACTCTCAGCTTCAGTATGAACCCAGACAGGGACACCTGTTATGCAATATTCAGGAAACTGTCATAAACATAAACAGTGGACTGAATATACAAATACATACTGATGGCTGTGCAAAATAATAGCTCAGATACATACGATCAGCACCTTACCCCTGTAAGCCATCTCTACTCCTTTCCCCCCCTTTGCTGTAACTCATTCAAGAGAGAATCTCTACTTATTACCCAGTATAAGTGAATACGTTACTTGTACTGTTCATTAACTGGGTGACATCACACAGTCGCCTGAAGTCTAACATAGATTATGAGAATGGAAACACAGCAAGCTACAAACTTATTTTTTTTGTTTGAAAGGTGACTTTTATCCTTCACTGTGTGAAGGATAAACAACCTAGTTCAGATCAACAAAATGTGCAGAGGCAGCCAGCAGGCTGGCAAACACAATAGACCAGCGAGTCAATGAAAACAAAACAGACCCTGATACGCACCGACTCTCCTTTTCCCATTAATCACACGAACTCACAGAGAAACTGATAAATACTATACATCACAGCAAGCTTAACAAGTTCAAAATAAACAGAAATTGTTCACTTGTGATTTATGTGACAGAGGTTTTCTGGGCTCATTAATACTGTTGCACTATTCAACAACTGATATCCAAACAAGGTAAGCCAATCTAATTCAAAAAGAAGTATCATCCATAAGACCCTGACCCTGGTTTTCCTTAATCCTGGAGATTAACATGCAGGGGAATCGCATGTGAAATATGAGAGAAATGTAAGGTGTAGTATAGCCCATTGTCCCTTGGCACTCACGAATGGTGCACATATGGGTGACTGCACCTAATGCTGCCGCATTGGTTTACTTGAGCGCTCACATACGTGTGAGTCTGTGGGAAGGAGCTTGCATTTCAGGATAAGTGTCAGTGAGCTTTAGTGGTAGACTACTTAGATTTACCTCCTGAACCCCCAACACATATTGTCTTCCCTGTGCTTAGATATCACACATAAGCAAGACAGCAACGGTCTGTCTGCAAACAACATGAAAACTGGGCTTTAACTAAAACAATTGTTTAAAAAATATAGAACTGACAAAGAATGAAAAAGCATGAGACCATACCACTTTTAATCCAGGTGTTTCTCATCGCACATGTGTATGGACTCAAGCACCTAATTGTGCAATCTGCTTGAATAAACACTTGTGAATGAACAGGTCTATAGAGTTCACTGAATTTGAACATGGCACTGTAACAGGGTGCCACAGTTGCAACAGGTCTGTTAAATAAATGTCTTACTTCATATGCATTCATAATCAACTCTTACCATAGCAACAAGTTACAGAGCAGGGACCCCGAGTGCTGAGGTGGGTAGTCGTCAACGCTCTAACTGTGAGGCTAATATAAAATAAAAATTTCGACAATAGTTGATGCTGATGAGGATATTTTTGGTTGTCTGTTCTCATAACAGGGTCATTCGGCTCATCGTCACACTATTTTTGAATGTTCAGACAGAAAGACAAAGCAACAACAGATAGACATTAGCCACTAGCACTGATATATGTCGTGGTACTGATATTCAATATCTATATGTCATCATGCCTCAAATAAATAATCATCCCTAATATTGAATTCCTCATTACAAAGACTCTTTAAATGTGACATTGCATCATAATATTTAATTGTTTCAAATACACCCAAAGTGTAACATCAACCTTTTTTGCATTCCTAGTTGATTGGAGTGGATTTAAGCTCTATAGATATTACAACAGAAGAGATAAGTGTATGCCAAAAAACTACAAAGAGAAAATGAATAATCATAGTGCTTTTTTGGATCCTCGTCTGAAAAGTGATATAACTGATATAATCTCTCTAAGCAAATATAATGAACCAGCACTGGGGATGTATCTGCAGTCAGCGCCTCCTGTCTCACACATCAGCAACTCTTAACACACCGATGGCCAGCCAGGGCTGTGGCGGACACAAGAGATGAGTGAGTGGGGATACTGTGTGAAGCCAATCTGCTAAATGAACAGTGTTTATCTGTCAGTTAAATGTCAGCTCTGAAGTCCAGCCCTTATCAGAATTAAATGTCAGGGACGAAGCTGGGCGATCTTTCTGAATAAAACATATAAAACCTCTGAATGTCCAGCGGGAACACACAAACACACATTCTCTGAGCATCCTGGACTCATGGGACAGTAAAGGAGAGTAAGTAGGTTCTGGTATGAATTATAATGCACACATGTGGTGGAGCTGTAGCAGATTAGATTTCGTTTTCAAGCACTCATCAAACATTTACTTGCAGCTACCAGTGATGATCCATCTAGATGTTTTTCCAGTTGTACTATATAACGCAAATATACGGTAAAGATTATGGGCTTAAAAATACGGACTAGAGGTACTTGTTTAGAGGTATAATGTTTATATTCCTGTTTTTACCGGCCACACACCGCTTACTATTTCCTTCCCGAACCCATTCCTTTTTGACGCAAGATTGCTTTTAAATTTTAAAAATCCCGGTCAACTTTTAACCTCACTTTTTTTCTATAATAGAAAATAATTACATAGATAAATAATTCACTGGTGTGACTGACAGCTTAACCACTAAAGTCATTAGGTTTGTAACAGCGTAGTGACCCCGGCCCTATTTAATGTTAGCTATCAAAACTGTACATGGATCGCGAGGGCGTAGCCTCTAGCAGCCCGCCACAACCGCGGTTTGTCCGCCGCACCTGTTCGCTGGCCATTCCTTCCCTTCGTGTCTTACCTTATGCTTTATGGGACTTCTCCACCACAGGCTGCCATTGCTTCAGAAAGTCTAGAAACGCGTCCTGGTTAAACTTTCCCGGCGTCGACAGCAGGCTGAACTCTCAAAGTGAACTTTGTCGTTAACTCACATTGTGGCTAACAGAGGTGGTGATGCTGCGAGCCCACGCGGCTCGTGACGTGCTGCCTTCAGGGTCTCCTCCCGAGATCGTGTTTTGGACTGTACGCTTTTAAAGTGGATCAAGAGCAAAGGTTTCTGAGACTGGAAATAATATATATTAATCACGACCTCAAACGTCAAAGAGACTTTGTTCCCGCCACATAAATCTGGTTAACGTCGTTGTTTATGTAATAATTTTTGAGAGCGCCTGAACGCATCTTAAGCAGATTAAAATGCACAAATGAGACGTTGATGTTACCGTGCTCTCCTGAAGGCTTGCTTGCTTGTAAACATTTAAATATAAATTAGTTTATTTGTACTTAACCTTTGCATTACTTCTAATATGACAGTCTGATCACAAAGGTAATGTTATATCTTCAGTGATAGGTGTTATGTGGAACAGATATTTATGATGTGGCATAAAAATAACTAATGAATCTTAAATATACTGCCTTTATCATGAATGAATGAATGAATAACAGATTTTTAGAAAATGTTGGACTATGTTTGTCCTTATCCTTGAAGACCTGCCCCGAGCTGTAAGGAGATAAGTGGTTAAAAAAAACCTGATGGATGACATTATTAAAACATTGTAATTTCAAGAAACATTTGGGAAAAATAATTCTTACCAGAACCTGCAATGAACACGTTTTACATTCAAATATGATCATAAATCATATTTATAAATCATACATATAAGCTCTTCATCAAGAAGAATTTCATAAAACCTCCTGACATAGTAAAAATAGTGAGTGCATGGTTAGTGTTTTACACACACAGCACAAACATATCTAATATTTTAAATACCCAAATATGTAAATACTTAAAAGAAACGATCAACTCTCAAACCAGAAAACTGTATGTTTTATTATTGCATCATATCAGAATCTTCAGAAAAAACTGTGAATTACACCTCCTGGCCCACCTCCATGCCTCCCATAAAACCAGTAATCAAATATTGATGATTGTGTCCATCATTATATTATTGTCATGACAACCTTTGTAAATGCAGTTACATATTGCTGAAACGGATTACACTGAGTGCATTATCAGATATGGCTGCACTGTAAGATTTAGCCTACGGGCTGCTTTTGCTTGGTCGTACAATCACTGCACTGCCAGTGAACTGTGTATTGTGGAAACCATTTAGGAAGCTGTTCTTCAGTCGGTGCAAGAAGTGGACATATCTCACGCCGGGTCCATAACCGGAGAACACATGTGACACCTGCAGGCCAAGACAGATGTGTACATTGAAATGCAGGAATACAGCACTGTGCACTGTAGTGGCAAAGAAATGAGAGTCTCACCTCTTTCCATTCATGAGAGTAAACCAGTCGCTGCTCGGTGGGGTTGACTGTGTGCTCTGAGATCACTGTGTTTTTATCCGCACCCAGTAACTTCACATGCAGCTGGTAGATTGAGTCATGCAGCTGACTCTCCTCATACCTGATAACATGACACACTTAGATTTTCCTAAAAACTTCAAAGACATTTTCTGTATGTGATGTGATTAAATTGTTCAGAGCAGATTACTATACACTCATATACACTCCAGGCTTGTGGAATGTCTTTATATTCACAAATAGTATAAATATCTGGGACCTTCGGGGGAATGAGTGCTATTATGCTGGCACCAGGATGTCTGTAGTGTAAGGGGACAAAGGGGGCCTTAATCTAGCTCAGTCACTTAAGTGGAAACACATCTATATATGTGAAGTTAGGAGAGTCTGTTTGTTCTTCTTTTTTGGCATGCAAACAGAAGCCACGCATGTGTCAATTCAAGCATTTTAAACTTGGAGTTCATCTCTTTATTGTCTCAACTTGTACAACAATCACTGCATACACATTGCTAGTACTGCATAAGAACCCCTTTTGCTTCCAGAACCAACTTAAGTCTGTGTGGTAATTCAACAAGATTCTGGGAAAACATTCCTAGAGGTTTTAGTCCACACTGACATGACAGCATTACGCAGTGGCTGCAGATTTGTTGGCTCTACATATACGATGCAAAACATCTGTTTTACAACATTACTTAACTGGATTTGAACTCTGGTAACTGTGGAGGCCATTTGATTACAGATAACTCATTGTCATGTTCAAGAAACCAGATTGAGGGATGAAAGCAGCTGTCAGAAGATGGGTACAACACACATAAAAATGTTAGACATGGTCAGTGACAATACTTGGGTAGGTTGTAGAATTTTAATTATGTTTAGTGTGGGGGGAAAAGGGCTCCAAAGTGTGGCAAGAAAATATTCCCTACACCATTACACCACTGTCCATCTCGACTGTTGATATAAGACAGGATGAATCAATGCTTTTATTTTGTTAATGCCAAATTCTGATCCTAAAGACTATGACCCTGAAGAGTCTTAAGAGAACTGTAGCACATTGTACGTTCAGAGATGCTCTTCTGCATACTTTGGTTTTAAAAACTGGTTAATCGACTTACTGTAGTTCCTAACAGCTCGAAGCATTATGTCCATCTCCTCACCTTTGACATCAACCCAGAGACTTGCTGCTTGCTGGATATTTCGTTATTCTCTGTAAAACCTACCGCTGGTTGTGTGGGAAACCCAGGGGATCAGCCGTTTGTGAAATTCTTAAAACAGCATGCCGAGGACCATAAACCATTCCGTGCTCAAAATTACTTGAATCCCCCCCTCCCCCTGCACTGATTTACTGCCGTGTGACTGGCTTGATTACGTATTTGCGTTAATATGAAGTTTGGCCAGTGCACTTAAAGTGGCTGGTGAGGGTAGGTTGATCTGAAAGGTGCACAATGACCATGTTGATGGTTTTAGCTAGGACTAGCACTTGGTATTGTCCAATAACCTTTGTGACTGAGACTTCCAGTTTAATAGGGGGTGTTCAAGAGAGACCAAAATATACATGTCATGGGATGAGCTTTTCTTCCTGTCAGTTTTTAATCACATTGCTAACAGAAGGGGTCGTAAGAATGCATATAGTTCAGTTTCGTTTAGCTTTTTTACTTTTATGGGTTTTGACTGTAGTAAAAAAGCATCTACAGTGTTGACTTCATGCATGAAACAAGCAGCAGTAGGGAATTTCTAGCAGCAGATTGTTGAAACACACACACAAACACACAGGTCTCTGTTGACCAATAACCATTTGGAAATGAATGCTATTAATTGAGGAGATCAGATCAATAAGTAGCCAGTGTGTGTACATTAAGTGTCCTTTTATTACAGTTTTTGCTAAAAGTAACATAATGTGTGATCTTTTTGTCTAGAAGCAGTTGTGCATCCTTAGTTTAGCTGTTCAGTTTCATTCATTTTTATTCACTGAGGACTAGCCTGCAAGCGCCCTCTGCTGTGTTCCTGAAGGAACTGCTGACATTTTTTGTAGAAGAGGTAAAGGCTCATATGGATTGGCTCTGGTATTGGTACACTGCTCCTGTTTAACTTGTTTGACAATGTAAACTCTGTTAGCATTATTAGGCCCTTTTACACTTTACTCACTCGGTGCAAAGGTTCTATCGTTTCACTTTGAACTAAACCAAAATGATGCAGTCACAACTATAACTAATTTATTTACATTTTTTGTTTGTATTTATGTTTATTTACCCACCAGTCTTGGATGGCAATTTCAGGCTGAAACTCATCCAGCAGCTCGTCCCACAGTCCTTCTGCTTTCAGGTCCACAACCTGCTCCATGGTGAACCAGCTGGGAACACCACCACAAACAAGAGTTATACTTACTACCACTGTAATTATACAACTAGAGGTTATATAGCAACCCACTCTTTAAATGTCATTTCTACAAGTATATTTGCAGATAATCCCGGTTATACCCAGCATCGTGGTAATGTCTGACCCAAGTAACACCTACCTGTAACGAGGCAATGCACACACCACAACACCTTCAGGTATGCCGCTTGTATCATAGGGCAGGACCTCCGAATTCGTGGTCCAACCAGTGAAGTTGCCTGGGGATTCAGAGATTAGTCATGAAACCACATTGATTTGATTCATTTTTTGGCTAACGTCACTCCTGTCCCTCACCATCAGGCTGAAATCGTGGAGGTCCGCGGTCAGGCACGGCAGGCAGTTCGGGTTCAGGTGGTGGGATGTCTTTACTCAACCCTGTGTAGGGAATAAGAGACAATGTTGGCCACTGTAATCCCAGTATACACAGCTCACAGACAAAGAGTTATCTTTCTGACAAGCACTGGGCGTGCCTCTTTGTAAAAACACACTAAGTCAGCATTCTGAGTCACACCTCAGTTTCCAGTTGTCTTAGGGTCATAAAAGCTTTTTCACATCTAATCTTTATGGTAAATGGACAGATTCTTATATAGCGCTTTTCTACGCTCCCGGAGTACTCAAAGCGCTCTATACAACAAGACAAAAAAACAAAAACAGCAGCCGTTTTAGTTGATCTGTTTTCTTTCTTTCTTAAAAACAGCATACTGCACGGTTTAAATGACGAGGAGGTTTAACTCAATGCTTAATGTTTTCAGCAAAGTTATGTCTCACATAACTATCAAAAGTACAGCTGCTGAAGCGTCAGGCACTTTTGTTCCGTCTGTATATGAAGCTGAATGTGGCCGCAGTTTCGAGGAGATAACACAAGATTCCATTTCTGACCGTTGGATTTGTGTCTATTGGCATCGTTTCATAAACTTTGTATGCTTTGATGGGTTTGTGTTTTCATTTACTTGTTAGCAATGCATTTCACAAACTAGTTTAGTTGTTGTGTGCAGCAGAATACTGGCTTAGCGGGCTTAAAGTCACAGTGTCTCCGATGTCTATACCCAAAGCATCTATTTGTTTGTAAACATATCGCTACATAACCAACAGTATATATGCTGAATGCTAAACACCCAAACAGCACCAGTTAAAGTATGAAGACATCAACTTCCTGAAGATCAGGTTTTTTTTTTCCCTTCTCCACTTCTGCATTAGTCAGATTGCACACAGGTACTCAAAAACAAGTTAGGGGAGGGGTCTGTGCATTCAGGATCCATTTTTCCGTAAATGACCAAAGACAATGAATTAATTATTAACTTAATCCCGCTAATACTGGAGGGATGAATTCACACCAGCATAAATGTGTGCAACACATGCCATCTGTCTGTAATCCAAACTTTCTGTGGATAAGGGAGAGACAGCAAAACAACAAGCGTAGCGTGTGTAACAGTGATATGGTACCGTATGGCGCAGGGTTCATCAGTAAATTTCTTCCGAAGGGCTTGGCTTCATACACGGACTTCCAGTCCAGGCCATCGGGCATCGGTGCACTCTGCAGGCTCCACTCTTCCTCGCACTTCTTCTTCCACTCGGCAGCAGACATGGTGCAAATAGCGTGACAGGGCACTACAGCTGTTTCCGAGTTCCCAGTCGGTAGTTTTATCTGGAACGCCCCCTCCTCCCACTCGAGCACAAACCACCAATAGAGGCAGTGTACGTAAACAGTAGCAAATTTTCTGTGACTAACTAAAGGAGGTCTGCCTGTGACACACCCCGGTGTTGCAAGCCAACATGCTGCTCCTCCCTGGCCTCTTAAAGTCACAGCAGTTTAAAAGAATTTCCATCATCACATGATTTATTGATGACATATGTCTGAATACAGATAGTGGAAAAATGTCAGTTTTAGTTTTGCTGGATCTCAGTGCAGCATTTGATACAGTTGACCACAACATATTACTCAAACGACTGGAGAATTGGGCAGGTCTTTCAGGAACTCTACTAAACTGGTTCAAAACATACGTAGAAAACAGGAAATACTTTGTATCAATAGATAACTTCACATCTGAGCAGACAAGTATCACATGTGGAGTTCCCCAAGGTTCCATCTTGGGGCCCCTTCTGTTTAACATTTACATGCTCCCACTGGCACAGATTATAAAGAACAACAAAATAAACTATCATAGCTATGCAGATGACACACAAATATATATCACAATGTCACCAGGAGACCAAGGCCCTGTACAGGCTCTTGGTAAATGCATTGAGGAAATTAATGACTGGTTGTGCCCAATTTTCTCCAGCTAAACAAAAACAAAACTGAAGTAATAGTCTTTGGTGCCAAAGAAAAACGATTACAGGTCACCAGAGAACTTCAATCTATACACCTAAAAACCACAAACCAGGCGAGAAATTTGGGTGTAGTGATGGATGCAGACCTAAACTTAGAAAAACACATTAAGACAATAACAAAATCAGCTTACTATCACCTCATTTATATTAAATATACATTAATATATAATATAAGCCCTCATATTATATATTATTTATTCATATGAAGTTTTGATGAATCTCGTTTAACGTATAATCCTTTATCTAAACAAGCTACAGAAACCTCACTACTGAAAGTGTGTTTAAAATGAACTATAAGGTGAATATAATAATATCATTTCACTGTATCCTCCAGTAGCCTCTAGTTTTTTCTGTGTGCATAATTCTTTGATAAATATATTAAATCTTTTGTTAGGTTCAGTAGCTTGTACTTATTTATTCATGTATTTAAATCTCAGGGAAATATAAAAATGCTTAATCTTAACAGCAGTCTGCCAGTCTTGTATTAATCTTCTAATATTATTCTAATATTATTACTTATTCGAATGTATTTTTTTCAAAAATGTATTTTAAGTCAAAGTAAGCACTTTGAAAATACCACAAAATAAATCACTTATTAATTAAAAAACATTCTATTTGTAAAGTTGTCTATTTAGCTCATTTGAAAAAATATGGAATTGTTTTATTTGCAGTACGGTTTAAACATTTCTGCAATAAAAAAACACCTTTCCCAGAAGGTTTCGTCAGTAAGCAGTGTCTGATGATTCTGATGCAAGGAGCACTTTGCACTTTTAGGATATTGCATGATAACTGCACTCTTGCACATTGATTTTTGCAATGCTTAGAAGTCTGTATCTTGGCCAAGTTAAAGTTAAGCTTGTTTAGTTACAGAAATCAAAAGGCTCAGTCTGCATCTTAAGCGCTAAATGCATTTTGCATCATTTTTCTATTGGAGGTGTTAAATGCAGTTAAGTGCAGTAAGAGTTTAATGTTGACTGCAGTGTTAAACATCCACAAGGTGGAGACATTTGTATGTATTTAGTGAGGACACCTAATTTCATCCACAACTGTGCTGCACTAAAGCTTTTTCAAAGCATGCGCAACTCACTGAAAGTAAAGTCAGCAACCAGAAACACTCCTCAGGGAATTATCAAACAACAGGGCCTCGCACATTTTTAGATCATGCCTAAAATTAAATAAGAAAGTCTGACATTTATCATTAATGTAATTAATGTGTGAGAGTCTAAAGGGATTTATATTCCATGTTTTTTATCCTTCTACCTCAGTTTTGCATGTCTTTATGTAAATAAAGACATTTCCACCTTAAATTCATGTAGAAATTGCAAATATGTGCCTAAAAAATTACCCAGCCTGATCATTGTTTGTTCATTTATAGTATTCTCTAAGTGCTTCATAGTATAACACAAATAGATGTTGGGAACCAGTTGAAATCAGTATATTTATAGCCTAAAACTTATAAAATGTAATGTCATTTAGGTTAATTTACAGGCTACATGCTAATGACATAAGGAAGACCCTGAGTCGACAGGGTGTGTGTGGCTGGCGGAAAGCCACAGACACACAGGTTGCAGCAGATGCTGGGTTGGCAGCTTGAGCTGCAGGGCAACATGCTGTGCTGTAATATGGCTCTGACACACATAGTTACTCATAGCATACAGAACTGTGAGGAGAAGCAGTGTGCACAGATCAGCCGCAACAGCACTGTGGCTTGCTTTGTATTGTAGGGATGCCTTGTGTTGTTAAAACAGCTTAGATGTGGCAGAGGCCTGCGTCTTGTACTATTAGGCAGTTTCACCATATCCAGGGTATCTTTTCATTATCTGGATTCACTTACGTTCTAATGTTCAGGACAGTTTTGTTGTTTCTATGGCTGCACATTAAGCATTTAAGATATGTCAAGTGATAAAAACCCAAACACCAGTTACAGAATGAAGACATCAACTTCCTGAAGATTAGTTTTTTCCACTTGTCCATCAGTCAGATTGCACAAATTTCCAAATTTCACAAGACAGTGTTTGTTTGTTTTTTCTTTCAGCTGCCACCCTGATGGTTTTTAATTATGTAAGAGCAAATAAAGAATTAATTCAACCTTCAGTATATGAGCAGAGCCCTCAGATAGCCATATGAAAAAGGTTTTTCATAGTTTTCCTCTTAATAAGAAGTGTGTGGTGGTTGATCTTGTCTCCTAATTCGTCCTGGAGATGTGTTAATACTGCAGTAATTGTGTTTCTACTTCCCTGTGCCATTCTAGAAATCCAACAAAGCATCGACACAGCCTCCAACTGTGACTGGCCAATTGTTACCCATTTCAAGCTACTTCTTCATCTGCCACCATTTCTCAAATCATAAGTAACAGCTAATCAAATGCACACGATTATTTGATTGTCAGCAAATGTGTGAGACCTCTATAAAGATAGACATTTTGGCAGTTTGTTGGTCTGAACCATTCAGGTGTGTGTTAACATAATGGCATTATAACCCAACATGCTAGAGTTAACTGATAAATGAGAATCTGGGGTGCAAGGTTAAGTATATTCACTGCAAACCAATGGATGACATCGTGGCGGGGATGTCCATCTTTTCTATGCCATCTATAAGTAATTCTTGCTGTTGATTTAGTGAGAGCTCCAGGCCAAGAAACCATATTCCTCTGTAAAGCTACAATCACTTGTTCTACACTTTGATCGAGCATTTCCTGTAAATGTAAGTTTGGTGATTCGTTTTATGTTTTCCTCTTTCTAACAGGTGTAAAATTTGTCAGAAGCTCTTGTGTCTTAAGTTTTCATTTCCTGTTTGGACATCCCAGATCTACATAAATGATATATGTTTCTTCCTGCAGCAAACAGTCCTAGTTGTCCCTCTTGCTGTTTATGAAATCACAATCAAATGCAATTTAAAAGAAATGAGAAAATGCAATTATCACACACTGTAACACACCTCAAATTGAATTCACGATCTGATATCACATGGATTCGCAAGCGTAATCTGCTTTGATTTGGCAAGTTATTCCATTAAGCTGTGGCTACATGGGCTGAAATAATTGCATTCTGCCTCTCTCTCTCTCTCTCTCTCACACTCACACACACACACACACACACACACACACACACACACACACACACACACACACACACACACAGAAAGCGTGGAAAGAATAACCTGTCTCATTTGAGGCTCATTCATCCATAAGAAGCAGCAGATTGAGCCAGACTGAGAGTGAATAACACCAGTGTTAATTCTCCGAATAATAATTTCAGGAGGAAATGTGGACAGGAAAGAATTTTTGAATCAGCACAAAGGTGTTTTTAAAGTAGTAACTGAGTAAGTATGAAAGTAATCAGGGCTGGTAATCCAGCTTGTCAGAAGACGGAGGAATGACTCAGAGGTTTTTTTGGTCAGGTGATGAGAATAGCAACCTCTCAAAGGGAGAAGAGGGTAGTATGAGCTGTAATTATGCACAAATCTACACATTAATAGGATATAAAAGAATGATGAACTCCAAAGTTGCCCTTACTTTGGAATACTATTCTTGATTACTTTTAATGCCATAATTGTTGATACAAGACCCAACCCACACTTCCAGTTTGTTTTCTTTGTAGTCTTTGTTCTCACTTGTTGTGACCATACTAACAAACTGTAGGTATGGTGTAGGTTAGTGATGGGTCGGTCGCGAACGAAATGGCTCTTAGAGCCGGCTCTTTGACGTGAACGACGCGAGCCGGCTCCTTATCGCCAGCCGTGGGTTTTTCTTTGGCTGTATCCCAATTCAGGATCTGCAGCCTTAAAGGCCGCATTTTAAGGCCGATTACATCACAGCGACACGACGAAGGCTGTCCCAATTCGAAGGCTGCTCGAAATGCGGCCCTCAAATGCGTCCTTCATTTCCCTGAATTTTAAGGATGTGGTGGTGTAGACTTCGTGGCCCAACATATCCCAGGATGCATAGCGCAGCGGTGGGTGTGGATAAATTTGCAGAAAAAAACGGCAGATGAGGGGCGCCCGAAGAGTAAACTTTAAGTAAGTGCTGAATATTATGTCACTTATTTATGTGCAAATGTTTAATAATGAAGAACATTAAAACATTACTGTTGGCCACATGCCGGCAAAGTTATGTGACATTAGTGACGTTTGTACTAACTTGGTTTAAAAGCCTTTACTTTAAAATATACGGCGTTCAATAGCTGAGCTTAATCTTGCAGAGAATGATCAAAGCTCATGTAGAAACAAACAAACAAATGAACAAAAGAGTTTCTCCTTCATTTCTGTCAAACAATGCTGAAAAGTTTCCAGCTGTTAGTATCATGGTTGCTAGGCAACCTGGGCAGAGGATAGACGTCCCATTTCACAAGCCTCGCACTTCCGGCCTTAGCTGTCTTTGATTACACGGCCCTTGTGGATCGTTAAGGCTGCGTACTTTAAGGCTGCAGACCCTGAATTGGGATACAGCCTTTTTCTTTCTCTCACCCTCTCTCTCGCACTTTTCTTCCGCTTCACTCTGCACGTGAGCCTTGTGCTTTACGCTGGGCAGAGGGGGGAGGGGCGGTAGTTACACTCAGTATCACAGGAACAGAGCGGGAGGGAGAGAAAGAGAGCCAGGGACAACAACGTATAGTAATCATCCACAACTATCTTCAGTTGCGGATGATAAAGGATTCAGAAAGTTAATTCATGCAGGTCCATATGACAGAGAATGTGCATGTTCTTTTTGTTTTCATATTATAATTTATATTTAATTGTGTTGTGGTTTGCAGTGTTTTGTGTTGTTTCAGTTTAAATTTGTAAAAGGAAAAAGCTGAAAATTTAAATAGTTAAAAGTTGAAATGTGACTAGTTGGTTTTTGTATTATATGATTTATTTATTACATTTTATGTGGAGTGAATAAATAAAAGTATATTTACGGTGGCCCCTACAGACAAAGCACGTACAAACTTTAAATCACATACGAACTCTGAAGCACGTACAAACTCCGAAACATGTAAAAACTCCAAAACACGTGAAAACACGTACAAACTCCGAAGCACGTACAAACTCCAAAACACGTAAAAACTCCAAAACACGTAAAAACACGTACAAACTGCGAAGCACGTACAAACTCCGAAGCACGTACAAACTCCAAAACACGTAAAAACTCAGAAGCACATAAAAACTCAAAACACGTACAAAAGACAACAGAAGTGCTCCAGGATGCTAGGCGCAGTGTTGAACTTTTGTTACCTAGTGGCTACACAAGCCACCAAGTACCAACGACCGGATTTGGTGTGTGGTAGTAACAGGTAAATGAACATTTTTTATTGTTATTTTTACATTTTTATTATTTGACTATATATGAATGCTTGTGTATAAATACACAAACAATACACATATGCTTTCATGCTTTCAATTGTGTAATTTAAGTGATCTAGGTAGCTCTGTTTTGGAAGTTCAGTTCATGCTAGAAAAGTGTTTTGGAGTTTGTACGTGCTTTGTCTCTAGGTGCCACCACATATATTTATATATAAACATATATAAATAAAACCAGGCAGCACGGTGGCACGGTGGTTAGCACTGTTGCCACACAGCAAGAAGGTCCTGAGTTCAATTCCACCATCAGGCCGGGGTCTTTCTGTGTGGAGTTTGCATGTTCTCCCCGTGTTTGCGTGGGTTCTCTCCGGGTACTCCGGCTTCCTCCCACCATCCAAAGACTTGCAGCTTGTGGGGATAGGTTAATTGGATAATTCAAATTGTCACTAGGTGTGAATGTGCGAATGAATGTGAGTGCGAATGGTTGTCTGTCCCTATGTGTTAGCCCTGCGACAGACTGGCGACCTGTCCAGGTTGTACCCCACCTTTCGCCCTATGACAGCTGGGATAGGCTCCAGCGCCCCTCGCGACCCTGAAAAGGATAAGCGGATGGATGGATAAATAAAACCACTTTTTTTTTTTTTACATTAGTAATTCCTTTAGTGCATAATTTTATATTATTGTTTATAATTAATTAATTAATTAAAGCAACAAAACAACCTGAAGAGCCGGTTCAGAGCCGAAAGAGCCGGCTCTTTTTAGTGAGCCGAACCGAAAGAGCCGGTTCTCTAAAAAGAGCCGGAAATCCCATCACTAGTGTAGGTGAATGGTAATCGGTAACTGGCCTGTATTTGTATAGCGCTTTACTAGTCCCTAAGGACCCCAAAGCGCTTTACACATCCAGTCATCCACCCATTCACACACACATTCACACACTGGTGATGGCAAGCAGGTGAAAGTCACAGTGACTTAATAGATTCACCTCACAGGTACAAAAAAGGCCTCGTGGGAGATTTAACTGTCATATACACTAGACCTGGGCAGAGCAGCAGACCTGTAAAGCACATTCAGCCCAGCCAGTGGGCTAGTTAGTGTTTACCCTTTTCAGCTTGACTGTGAAAGCACTTAAACAAGTGTTGTAAGATTTCAATACAGCGTAGTGTGTTACCAGTGGTGTTTCTGGTGACTGTGGTCTCAGGTGCCTTCAGATCATTAACAAGCTCCTCCTGTGTAATTTTGTAAAATTCCTCCACCTTTCTCATGATCATTTTAACTATGGGCTCAAAATGTGGTCATAAATATTTTGTACTTGTAAATCGGTTTTGTACTTGTAATAAAGATTTGTATGTGTAAAAAAGATTTGTGCGTGCGTAAAAAAGATTTGTATGTGTAAAAAAGATTTATATAGAGATGGCCCAGATATTTATATAGAGATTACCCTTCAAGGACCTGCAGTTCAAAAAAGTGCCCCTCCGACAGCCAAACCCATCTGTTCTCTGATTGGATTGGGGCACTTTTTATCCGATAGCAGTTAGGTCCCCTTATTTTCAGCAGCTGTTGAAAGGATAAAGTTGTGGTATATCAGTGGTTAGAAATACCATTATTGTGTGGATGCTTTAAGCATCCACACTATTGAGTTCCTTCTTGGTGTTTCCGTACACTTTTCGCCGTGGATCTACTTCCACAATTTTCAGCCGATTTTCACCGTTCAAATTTTAAACTATTCTGCTATTTCTGCTAATAACGGCTATGTCTTTTGGTATTTTTCACTATTATACTTTTTAAAATATTAAGCTTTTTTCCTTTAATTTGAAATGAATGGGAAACTTTGCAATTCTGCTAAAATTAGCTTGTTTTTGAAACTTAACTACTTCCTCATATTTTCACGTAGAACAACCATTCAAACTTTAAAATGTTCTCAAATTATTGGGCTATTCAGGTATAAATCAGCTTTTTCAAATCTTTTACCGTTTTACTTTTATGCTTCTTAAAGTTTTGAGTTGCAAAATTGTGATTTCTCACAAAATACATGCGTTGTTATTGTTGTCACTGAAGGTTTCGCAGTCTTCTCTTCATGTCCGAACAACTTCTTGCTACTTGCTCAAATTTCACTCAACTTCCACAAATTATACATCAAAACGTAGGTATTTTTGCTGGCTTTCTGAAAATGTCACTATCATTGTTGTGGAATTTATAGAATTTTGGCAAATCTCCTCAGACCAACAGAAAGTCGGAAAACTCTCCATAGAAAGTCAATGGAGAGTTTGTTCAAAATCACCGCTTGATTTCTGTAATGAGAGGCATTTTCGAATTGTCATATCTCCTTAATCTCCTTTGTGCTAAACCAGAGTATTTGTGCTGAAACACAGTATTTCTGCCAAATGATAGTATTTCTGTCAAATGATAATATTTGTGCTAAACCATAGTATTAATTTAAAATGACAATATTCATAGTTCATCACAGTGTCTCTGGTAAATCACAGTATTTCTGCTCTGTTGTACTATTTTTCTAAATCATAGTGTTTCCGTAATGTTTAAGTATTTTTGGCTAAATATATTCTTTCTGTTATCTTATACTATTTTTCCTAAATTCTTGTATTTTTGAGAAGTTATCATGTTTCTGGTAAGTTACAATATTTCTGCTAAGTTCTGCTATGCTATTGTATTTCTGCCAAGTATTATGTTTCCTCTAAGATGTTGCAGTTCTGCTAAGTTATTCCATTTTAGCAAAGTTCCTTTGCTTCTGCAAAGTTTTTACAATTTCTGCAACTTTTCAGCTAGTTTTTGCATACAGCTTCAGCTTTAAAGCATCCACACTGCATTTTCGCAGGAAATGCAAATTTTTCTAGTTACTTTAGGATTAGTTTAACACAATGGTCAGGGCTGACCCGGGACCATTGCTGTGAGTCACAGTGCGCAGCATAAAAGTCCTTTCACATCGGACGCAGGATGTGCTGCTAATGCTAATTGCTAACTAAAAGCAAAGGATCCAGAATTTGTTGCTGGCTGCTGAGCTCCGTGGGTTTTTGCAGCAGCTCTACCAGCAGCTCTTTGGTCTTGCCCATGATGGTGGAAAGGTTAGAATGGAAGAAACTGATTCTGTGGATAAAATCAGTGCTTCATGATTGATCGATTGCAGTCTATGTGCCACATGGGCACAAAACACATCTGTGGCAGCCAGTATTCTTGTTGGGTTGTAGGGGATCAAACCCTTATTTCACTCAGTGACATGGGGATCAGTTTATAACTTTTATGTTTGGACCCTGTCTCAATGCTATGAGCTCAGTTGTTATGTTCCAGCATTTTAACATTGTATTTGAACAAGTTTATCAATTTTAGAAATGTCACCCGTCCATGGTTTCATTGTTATTGGGTGACTGGTGTAAGTGCCTTGAGGAAAACATCTTACTTCAACAGTTCAACAGCACTGCAAACTTAAGCCTTTCCAATTACTGTGGAGTTAAATCAGTGTCTTCCTAACAACATTTTCTGCCACGTACAACAATAACATACAGCCTAACGATCTGGCCCAACCCTGACTTACTTGTGTTCCACTCTAAAATGTCTGTGCAGCAACACAATCCATTGTGGAACAAATCATCTTGCAAATAATAATTCACTTTATTACAGGAGGGACTAATAAAGTTGTGGCACATGGCACATTGCACACAGGCACACTGACTGGGTTCAGTGTGTTTGGCATTTGCACCAGTACTGTGTCCTGAATGGTTAGGGTGTTAACACGTGTCTGTGGCTGGCACACCCAGACTCTATCCAGCTGATGTGGTTCCTTTATAGCTGAAGAAGACGGCTCTGCTTGACCTGGCCTCACACAACGTGTTTTGGCCTGCTGAGCGTCCTCTTCAGGTTCAGAAGACACAAACAAAAACACAACGGGTTTTTTTTCTAATAGATTTTTGACTTTTTTCATCACATTTGACATGAAAACGATTCCCCGGAATATTCTCTCACCTTTGGTGCAGTTACGATCTCTGACCCTCTTCCTCTTTTTGCCCTAAAAACAAACACATCAGAATTTTCCTGAGCTGATACAAACTCTCTGCAGTGACTGTTTCATCATTCAGTGCAGTGAAAGGCACATGGATGAACTGTATGTTGGCACTTTGGACATACATAGTTCTCTTTGGTTGACCAATTCGGATGTTCTGTGGCGTGATGACATCTTTGTGTTTCCGCCTCGTCAAAATATTTTTTCTGCTCCTTCTTTGAGAGCGACCTCCACTGTGGATAGAAGATCACAAGAACACACTGTCAGCTCGTATAAATACACAGCCACACTGCTACTACACATAACTACAGGACAGCTGGTGCACATGCACAAACAAGATGATAGAGCATTAACAGATGCATAAATATATTCAGAGTTACACTTACTCTCTCTCCCACAGCTGCACTGTCACTAATACTTAGTTCTGCTTTCACCTTTGGCCTCTGCTCTTTAAGGTACAGCATGAAGGCATTTGGGGGCTTCTTAATGTACAGGGAGTGCAGAATTATTAGGCAAATGAGTATTTTGTCCACATCATCTTCTTCATGCATGTTGTCTTACTCCAAGCTGTATAGGCTCGAAAGCCTACTACCAATTAAGCATATTAGGTGATGTATCTCTGTAATGAGAAGGGGTGTGGTCTAATGACATCAACACCCTATATCAGGTGTGCATAATTATTAGGCCACGTCCTTTCCTTTGGCAAAATGGGTCAAAAGAAGGACTTGACAGGCTCAGAAAAGTCAAAAATAGTGAGATATCTTGCAGAGGGATGCAGCAGTCTCAAAATTGCAAAGCTTCTGAAGCGTGATCATCGAACAATCAAGCGTTTCATTCAAAATAGTCAACAGGGTCGCAAGAAGCGTGTGGAAAAACCAAGGCGCAAAATAACTGCCCATGAACTGAGAAAAGTCAAGCGTGCAGCTGCCAAGATGCCACTTGCCACCAGTTTGGCCATATTTCAGAGCTGCAACATCACTGGAGTGCCCAAAAGCACAAGGTGTGCAATACTCAGAGACATGGCCAAGGTAAGAAAGGCTGAAAGACGACCACCACTGAACAAGACACACAAGCTGAAACGTCAAGACTGGGCCAAGAAATATCTCAAGACTGGTTTTTCTAAGGTTTTATGGACTGATGAAATGAGAGTGAGTCTTGATGGGCCAGATGGATGGGCCCGTGGCTGGATTGGTAAAGGGCAGAGAGCTCCAGTCCGACTCAGACGCCAGCAAGGTGGAGGTGGAGTACTGGTTTGGGTTGGTATCATCAAAGATGAGCTTGTGGGGCCTTTTCGGGTTGAGGATGGAGTCAAGCTCAACTCCCAGTCCTACTGCCAGTTTCTGGAAGACACCTTCTTCAAGCAGTGGTACAGGAAGAAGTCTGCATCCTTCAAGAAAAACATGATTTTCATGCAGGACAATGCTCCATCACACGCGTCCAAGTACTCCACAGCGTGGCTGGCAAGAAAGGGTATAAAAGAAGAAAAACTAATGACATGGCCACCTTGTTCACCTGATCTGAACCCATTGAGAACCTGTGGTCCATCATCAAATGTGAGATTTACAAGGAGGGAAAACAGTACACCTCTCTGAACAGTGTCTGGGAGGCTGTGGTTGCTGCTGCACGCAATGTTGATGGTGAACAGATCAAAACACTGACAGAATCCATGGATGGCAGGCTTTTCATAACCAAACCATGTCCATGCTACAGAGGTAGTAGCTCCTCGTTTAGCAATAACTCGACTTGTTTTGACTGGTTCTTCTGTTTGGAGCTACCTGGTTCTGCCTCATCCTCGCTGGCCATGCTGGTATTCTCTGTGCCTTCATGCGCATGGTGACTATAAGCGCCAATTTATAGTTACTTCATGTTTTAATTTGAGGTCATTTGTTTGATGCATATTCTGAAATTTGAAGTTTGAGAATAATGTATATCATTTCAGTTTACTTTGAAAAGTCTCAGCAGGATCTTGAGCTTTCTTGTGAAAGGTTTATGTGAAAAATGAACAAGCGGACGGCGGAGCCACACGATGGTTTTACCGTCATTGTTGGTAACAAAAGTATGAAACAGTCGCTTGTTCATCCATAGCGTGGTTATTTTAAGTATAAGAGATAGATAGAAGTTTAAGAAATTAATATAGCCACTACAGTGACCATCAAAACCATGAAAAAATATTGCCGTAAACAGTTTATTTTGCAACATCACGAAACAAACGATAGTGTATAATATGAAACAATACACATTTTTATATCGTCATTCGATATATATCGTCATATCGCACAGCCATAATCCTTTGTTTTTTGTTGCTGTTGTTTATGTTCAAGGTAAAAAAAAGAATAAAAATATTAACTTTTTAAAATATCTTTTTGTGTCTCTTGTTTTCCTCAGAATAAATTGCGACTAGTCTCAATGGCTGAGATGGAGGAGCAACACAGCGACACATTAACCCCGACTGCTGCAGTTCCTGTATGAACTGAGCAACTCTGAAAATCCAAGGAAAAGCTGAGTGTATTTTATTTAAAGCTCAGATGGAACTTGATGGACTAGCATGCGTGCTGCATTCAGGACTTTGACACACGGTATGTGAAGAGTGGTACCAAGAGAAAGTGTGTGCACACAACGTGTCACTTTATGCTTGCTCCTCTCCAGCCTCTGGTGTCACTTTGTAGTCATTTGTCTTATTATTGTCTTATTTGATGCAATTTAGGTTATGTGCGCACAAGCAGAGGTTTTTGCTCCAGAAGTAACCATGACCTCGTTTTGAGAGCCATGTTTAACGTTTAATGGCCGTGAAATATGTCTGAAATATGACTTTTTCCTCTACTTAAACAGTTAAGAGCATTTGAACACAGTGGAGAAAAAGGTGTGCATTAAGGATTTTGAAACTATGATGTTTAAGTGTTGTCACTGTTGAGCAGTGTTGGTTAAGTTACTTGAAAAAAGTAATCAGTAACTAATTACCGATTACTCCCCCAAAAAAGTAATCCCGTTACTTTACTGATTACTTATTTTCAAAAGTAATTAATTACTTAGTTACTTTTTAAAAACACGATTTACAACCTGAAGAGGTGATAAAGCGATAGATCTTTCAGCCCAATTCTACTTTTTCTGCATAATCCATCATACAAAATGTAATCAGATGGAAAATTATCTTTTTAAAACTTGTTTTATTAGTTTTAATCTTTTAACTTTATGCATCAAGCAAAAATTTTATTATATGCAACATTCTCTGACTGGAAGAAATTTGTTTAACATTTAAACTTATTTTCTGCACATTTCAGCACATAAAATAAAATTTTTTGTGTGTGTTTACACTCAGTCTTTCAAATAGATGCAAGTAAAACACAGCAGAAAATAAATAACATCAAAGACTCAGCGGTCCTGTTGCTCTATTTTCACCTGTAAAGCAGGAGTGGGGTAGGCGGAGGTTTACCCTGGTGCAGGTGTGCCGCAGCGGTCAGTGGAAGAATCCGCGAGTTTCTCTGTGAGTTTCCCATTACGTCGGTGCTACTCGGTGCTTGCTTGGAAGTTTAGGGGTTTTTTTCGCTGTAAAAAGAAGTTTTCTTCCCACGCACAACGGACACTAATGTTTTTGTCACTTTTTATGGAATCAAACTCAAAGTAAGGTCAGTACTTCCACGCTTTAAACGCTGCACGCTCACACTCTCTCCCGCACTCGATATACGATCCATTGTTGATCTGCACACAGCTGTTGTCACGAACGTCGCACTCGCTTACGTCACTGTCATGAGACATTCTTGCAAAAAAATCACGGTTTTAGTAACGCAGTAACGCAGCGTTACTACGGGAAAGTAACGGTAATCTAATTACCGTTTTCGCAATAGTAATCCCTTACTTTACTCGCTACCTGAAAAAGTAATCAGATTACGCGTTACTGCCCATCTCTGCTGTTGAGGATTCGTGGACACAGATCCTTATTCACCACGCTGCTGTTTACAGTTTAACTCTTCATCAGAAAAAGCACTTCTATTGTACTTTGCTCCTCACTGTCTTTGAAAAGCAAGAGCTGACAAAACAAGTCTGGTAAATGCACTTTTATCTTTAAGTTTGGAACAGTAATCTGTCTAATCTATTTTGTGTTTTAGTTATTATATGGGGAAAAGTCCTGTGGTCATCCATCCGTCCTGTTCTAATAAACCCAAATTTCAGGAACACCTTCTTTAGATCTGTTCAGTTTTAGCACCACTTAAACAGTCAAACTTTTTTGACTCAAAGTATGTTATATTGCAAGGTAAAGACCCCAAAGAGTTCAGACAAACGTTCAAAACAATGTGAATTACATTCACTTCATTAATGAGGTGAATGTATTCAGTCATCAAAGGTGAGTGGCTATAACTGACTACATGTGTATACTGTATCATAAGTGGACAGACATGGATGTAAACCAAACTCTGGATATTATTAAATGTGAACATATCGTTAAATATTACATTTTTTGTTTGTCAGGTGTCCTGCTTGAAGAAAACACTTGGAATGTAAACACATTTACATGAGGGCAAACAGATTTCAAGGAAAATAAAAATGCTCAAATTTGAAAGCTTGTGAGTTACTTTGTTCATGTATCAGCTGTTTAGTTGTTTATGACGAGATGGATGCTGTCGTTATATTTTAGAATAATTTTTGAGTTGAGGAGAATAAAAGAATATTTAACATTAATTGTATGTTGTGTACTAAGCACAGATTAATTTAAAAAGTTTTAATTTATGAATTTTTTGAGCACAGGGTGTACTACGTTGTAGTTGCATAGAAATGTACGTTTAAGGATATAAAGAACTTTATTTAATGAGTTACAGTGAAAAGAAGTGCTTGGAAATAGTAATATAAACAGAAATTTACATTTTTCTATTAATGGAAAATATCAGTTCATGATACAGAAAATATACTGTAAATCTACAGAATTTTATGTTTTATCATTATCATTTACAGAAAAGTCCGTCAAACTTCCGTAGAAAAAACAGAAAGTGGAATGACAGAAAATTACCTCATTTGCACCAAGTGCAAATAAGTATCCTAATTTATATATTATTGCTCATAGAACAACAACATTATTGTCAATTTCACTAACTTCACACTGTCATGGGCTGGTGTTATGATGTTCTTGTTTGTATAGTTTAGACTTCAGTTCTGTTGATAGTGAGTTCTGCTTCCCTATTTAGTTCTCGTCTGTCTAGGTTCGTCCCGCGTCTGTGTCTTCCCCACTATGTTGGTTATGGTG